GCATTTGTTGAGACAGCATCAAAAGTTTGACTGAAAATGTTCTGATGAGTATCATAGACCGAAACAGGGAGAATTTTTAGTCCCCCGCCTCGCCCCGCCCCGAAAAGCCCTTCCCCCACCTCGCCTCGCCTCGATCTTAAATTAACTTTCTCTTCCCCGCCCCGCCTCGCCCCGAATTTAAAATGATTTATCTTTGCCCTGCCCTGCCCCGCCCCGTGAAAACCTTTCCCCGCCCTGCCTCGCCCCTGGAACACCTTTTCCCGCCCCACCCCGAGTCTAAAGTATTTTTGTCAAACACAAACAAAAAGGAGTGTTGAAGTGTATATGGGTAGAAATTCTGACCCACCCTGACAGACCGTGGCAAACGAAGGTCTGAGATGTTTCTAGCATTCGTCTGTTACGGTCTCTGACGCTTCTAGCATTCGTCTGTTACCGTCTGTGATGCTTTTAGTGTTCGTCTGCAGGGCTGCCAAATCCAAATTTAGAAAACCAGAAGCTCATAAGAAAAAAAACAGGAGTTGACCAGGAGATCCTTATTTGAAAGCGAGAGAATACTTTAGGACGTTTTTATTAAAATTAGGAAACTTTTGACTGTTTTTTTCGAAAAAATTGATATTTTCTTTTACGCAATTGATTAAAATTTTCTCCTAATAGGTTAATTGTGGCACAGTTTTTCATGTAATATTATGTATGAGAAAAATTAAAGATAACTATATCTTCTACTTCCTTATCTATTTCGAAATCAATCAAAAAATGTAGCAAACAGAGAAAATACTATTTACTAATACATTTAATAACGAATACAAACATATTGAAAAAGATAAACTGTATAAAACATTTATGCTGTTCATGGTATTTTAGCAATATGCGTGTATTCTGGTGAGGGTCGAATTTATTTTAGTAGATCTTGATATTTAAGAAGATGATAATAAAATTCTGAACATTCATGTACTTATATTGAGTGTTTCATTTTATCTTGAATTCCACACTGGCAAGGTCGTGCCTCACGATACGCCTGTTCTTTTCTTTCTTTTCTCTTTTTCGTTTATCTCATTCTACTGATTCCGAATGTCCCTGAAAGTAAGAATTAAAGGAAAGTTCACAAACCAGGAGAAAATTTCAAAAACCAGCTCCTGGTACCGGGAGTATTTTTAACCAGGAGAAAAGTAAAAATACCAGGAGGCGTGGCAGCTCTGCTCGTCTGTCACGGTCTGGGATGTTTCTGTTCGGAATATACGAGTATTAGAAGCGTCATAGAGAGTGAGAAAAGAACTTAAAGAACACGAAATCTGCTAATTAAATAAGTTAAATGAAACATTAACGATAGTTATTAAAACCTGAAAGAGTACATCAGTGGCTTCCAAAGTAAGGTTTTCATTTGTGAAAACTTACACATTCAAGTGCTGCAAATGTATATGGAGTAAAAGGATTTTCGTATTGCTAGTAATATCAGCTAGTTAGTGTTTCACACTTTCAATCCTGCCAGGGATTGCGCTAACAGCGCTTACCAAAATCTATCGCGGGGAAAATTCGGGGAATTCGCCTTAAATCCACCACGCCTTGCCTCGTTGTAACTTATCCCCGCCTCGCCCCGAGCAGGCAAAAACTGTCCCCGCCCCGAATCCTCGCCCCGATTCCCCGCCCCGTTTCGGTCTCTGATGAGTATGTTGTGTAAATTGAATGAACTGTTGCATGTCTTCTTTTGTACGAAAAATGTCGTGGCGAAAAATTGTCGAAGTTTGCCTTACAAGAAAGGTTTAGATGGACTTGAATTTCAGTGAACTGTGAGTTAAAGCTTGCCGACTTTTTCCGATGTAAATTATGGTGTCATGAACTTCTACAAGAAAATATCTCTTATCTTTTTACTATTATGTATATATATATGAAGACTGATCATTTACCATTTTGTACTGCGTGCATATCTATATGAGTGAATTGCAAAATTATTGTACCGTTGGATTTCGGAGATGTAAAAGTTTAATAACTCCAATTCCTGTCAACCAATCTTTATGAATTTTTCAGGTGAGACGTTTCTAGTTAGTGTTCACTACCACACAGAAAATCACAAATTTACCTTGCACAGAGTTTGAGATATTAGATGCTCAAGGTTAAAAAGTTCGATTTTCACTGACGAGTAATGCACAAAAATGTCATATAGCCAGTTGGTTCTCTTATGATTTGAATTTGAAAGTTTCCAATATTTATAGTAGATAGTGTACAAGTTTCAGATATGAGGCCAGTTGCTTCTTCTATCATGGTTCTCATTACACTTTTTCTTGAATAGCAGATGTACCCTCAATCCTTAGTTCTGTGTCACACGAGATTTAAAAACGACCTTGCCATGCAACAACATATTAGAAATTGGCCGATTTGGCGTTGAACGAAAGTCAATTAGTGGAAAATAAAACTAGCAAAGAAAACTGGGAAGTTGTCCTATTTTTTGTTAATAAAACGACATAAAATAAAAATTGAAAATGCAGTGGTCACAATAAATGTCACACGAGATTTGATACTTTGTTTATCGTGTTAACTCTTGTAAATTAAGGCAGATTGAGCTGAAATTTTTATCGTTTTCTCTGCTAGTTGTGGTCAACTATAGTTGAAAATATGGTGATTAGAAAGCGTGTCTTTCATATAAAAAAGAAAAAAATTAGTACAGATATGTTATACGAGATTTCTTAGTGAACTGTCACACGAGATTCTTTGGGAAACTATCAATTAAGATTTTTATGTATATAACTGTCTCATAACTAACGCTGATGTAAATACATTACAAGTTACTTGATTTCCTGTTTAAGTAACTATCAAAATCCGTGCAAATACCCTCTAGTTTATTTCTCAGATTTCACACACATATACACAAATCCAGTGATTGTATATAACAAATAACGCATTATCAGAGTTCTATGACCTAGCTTTATTGAATCAGACTCTCAATCACATTCGAATGATTCAAGCAAAGTTGTTTCTATATATAAACTGAAGTATTTTCAATGGCTCCTGTAAAACTCGCGTATTTAAGTAATTTTTTGACATAACAGCTATGCAGTAGCATTGAAGCATTTTTCATAGGTTTTTCAATGATTTTCGTATATCAGAACCATACTTAAAGTGGTAGTCGGGAAAATTTATTCTTTTTCTCTTCTCATATAGTACAACTAAAAACACTTCTTATCAGCGTTCAAATCGAAATTTTTTTTCGTTCGTTTCTTTCCTCAAAATTGTAAAATAATTTTGCAATTCACTCATATATAATCGGTTTGAATCATCAAATGAGAATCCTAAATTGTTGTGCGTCATTCTATATAATATATTTCTCGATTCTGACCAATATCTAACTGTTTTATAGTGTTGTATGCAACACTTATGATAATAATAATAATCGAATATTGATAGATATAATCTGCGAAAGATAAAAAAAGGATGGATACTTAGGACGTACTAAAGATTCGTATCCTGATATTTGAAGAACCTGATCGGATGATGTGAGCTGATTTAGAAATAAGTAACAAATACATCATATTCTAGAGCTTTTGAGCTGCATCAACTAATACAGAGTAAGTCCTGTTTTCAATCGAACTCTGAAGAAATTATAATTAATTTACTGATAGATGATTACATATTCATACTCATCAATGTTCTCCTTCACATTCACAAAACGACCAAAGACAACACGTATATGATGTTGTAGTCCATCGAAAACTATACAAAATTGTATGTGAGAAACAATTTTTAACAAATGCTTGTAGTTAATAACAAGAACTATAATCTTTAAATGAGGGTACTCTAGTATGGTTATGAATACGGATGTGTGTGAATATGTAGCCTTCTATGAGTAAATTAACTTCTAGGTCCTTCAACGTTTGATGAAAACAGGATTTACCATATACTATTCGATGCATCTCGAAAAACTCTACAGCATGATTTATTTGTTTCTTATTTTGGAATTGGTTAATCCCTTTAAATGGTACGATACAAACTTTTTGTATGCCTTAGGTCCCTTAAAACCTAAAGTCAAACTGATATTTAAGAATGTGCCATGCGCTTACTACATACTAAGTATTGCAACAGGCGTCTGTGACGTCGAATGTATTGCGAATTACGATACACGCAACACATTTTAAACTAGAATATCTACATCTGCCGCCAAAGCTTCATTAAATCGATATATCCGTGTTCAAGGCTATTAATGGAATTCAAAAGAGATAAGCTTCTTGCAGACATGATAAACTTTCTTCAAGTATTTTGAAATTAATCTTGAATATTCATGCCAATCTTTTAAATTGTATATTATTGAATCGTGTCATCATTAATAATTAGAAGAAAAAAAGGCACGTAGAAGGTTAGAAGAATAATGTTTTTGTATTAGATCAGTCTGATTTATTTTTGAAGCATTCTTCGCCAGAGAACTGAAAAATTCTACATGAAAACTGCTAGAAATAAAGAGTTATTAATCTTGTTCGTTGAATATGAAAGAGTAAATCAAGTAATTCAAATATGTTTTTCAATGATCAGAATGAAAATTATCTTAAACTGAACGATCTCATTATATGCAGCGTCATCTATTTATATTTTAAGGCGAAGAGTTTCGACTGAACACTGAATCATTTGTCAATAACCTTTTACATGCTTTTGTGAAACATTTCACTTACGTACTGATAAAATTGCGAATAGGATTGGTTTCGGCTGGTGTACAAAATGAAATGGGTTTTCAATCAGTAAGTATTAATGGCACATCAATTTTACATCGTTATTCACCGGCACCCTCGAAACTTGATATCTGTGCATGTAGTGTATCATTCGACTGTCTAGATAAAACGGGAGCTGGTGGGCAGTTTTTCTGCCAACATGGAGATAACTGTATACCCAACACCACTGTTTGGAGTGTGCCCGGTATATTGAAAACATGCAATGCATTAGAATCAATAATTAATTCTGACCTACGTTGTTTCTATGATCAGACATGTTTTTCTACTTTACTTTCGATGTACAACGTTGATATGACGGATCGACTTCCACTTCCATCTGATACATTAGCGATTGCCGTACTCAATAGCTCAATTCCATCACGATATCTGCCAACAATGACTGTCTTTGAAATTTTTCAACAACTTTTTGTTGAAGATTGGCAGATTAGCTCAAATTTTGAAGGTTATTATAATACATGTGCTCCATCCGCCTGTATTTACACATATAATAAACGTATGGATGTTCTTTTTATCGTCTCAACAGTTATTAGTATAACTGGTGGTCTACTTATAATATTACGTTTATTTATTCCATCCGTGGTATGGCTCTTATCTTATATCATAGAACATCGATTTACTCAGCATTTGCATTGGTATGATCGTGACACAAATTCAGCAGGAGGTATCGAGTAATATTTTTATAACATATATTTTAAGGGTCCAACAACTTATAATCATGCGTTTTCGTGTAAACGAAGTCAGAAAGTCTTAATTTCATAAAAATTGAGCCTATTGTTAGTGAGCACATATATCTTCCATTTAAATGAAAGCTACTTATTCATACTGTTAAATGAAGTTGATCGTAAATGATGTACAAGTATATTCTATAGATTTGGAGTTCTTGTTTTGGCTTTGCTTTTAGAAAATACTCATATACATAATATTATACTGAAGAGACAAAAATCTTCGGCATCTCAATCCCTTTTGAGTTTGAACTTTATGAAAAATGTCGATCTCACACTAATTCGATCTAGTGACGAAGGCGCACTAACATTTATAGTAGTAGAAGTTGATTTCTATAGCACTTCTTTTGTTTGATGACTTTAATTGATTCATACAAGCTATTACTAGTTACCATAATCACTAATTATGAATCTTGGATATAAATAGAATAACGTGAAAGATAAAAACAAAACAACGACACTTAAAATTATTATTCCCTAGAAACGCATCTTGTATCAATATTTTTTCATACCAATATCTATTTTTCTGTTTGAAACTTGTTCTAGTACATCAAAACAGAATCTTGTTTTTGTTTTCATGAAATATCAATGACAAAAAACGACTAACAACTTTATCTGAGAAACCTTATTCTTCAGAGGATTGTTTTTTTTTCATTATCTTTTTCTGTGATATTTTCGTACATGAAAGGATCCTTCGAAAAAAATGAAAAAGCTAACTTGATTGGTAAAAGGAAGAACATCCAAAATAAAACAATTTTTTGTCATCAAGGATTTGATATGATGATATAGACGATAGATTTTTCAGCACAACCGATATCCTCCATTATTTACTTCTTTTCACTAGGTGTTTATAAATTTTGGATAACGTCAATGAATTTAACTATTTTATAACTTTATTTGACATAAATTTTTACTGATTCATCTTCTAAATAATATTAAATTATTACTGAATAGAAACTAACTAAGTTTTTAGCGATTTTTTGTAAAAACTGAATACAATTTTTGAGAATATGAATAAGTAGTGCGACGTATTTGAATAGACTATGACTTAATTTATGCTCACCTCCTAGGCAATCACAAGTTTAATACCGAAAAGTCTTGCGACATCTTTTTTAAAAACTATTTCTAGCATGAAAAGTTCACAGAATAGAACTGATTTAGTGGTTACCACGCATTTTCGAATAAATGAAAGTAAAAATATGGAAGCAGACAAAGAAGCTTGAACGTTCTGATAATTTCCTTTTGAACTACAACACTGCTACTGACTAATATTCCTACATATACCTGTAGGTTTTAAAAGATTTTTTTTTGTCATTGATCTTGACAATAAGAATTAATGCTAATTTTATTTATCTTGCTATCATTTAGATTTTCAAAATCGAATAAGAGACTATGGAATAAAGGTGAAAATTTTCTTAACTAGAATTAATTTTTTTAAGGCAGAAGTCTCAAGAAGTCAAATGCCAAATGCTGAACATATTGGAATGTTGGCAACTCGCATCTACTCGATATTATTTGGAATTACTATTCTCTTTATTATAATTTTTACTGGTCTTAGTGAAGTTATTATATCGAAGGTGGTAAAATCACCATCCTTGGAGACTTTTGAAAATTTGCATGCCATTTACTCAATGAAGTTTTCATGTCAATGCAATCGAATTTCAATGAACTACGGCACATTTCTCACTCACAATATAAAGTTTCATCAGGTATATATATCCCCCCGGAAAAAAATAGTTTTGCCTTGTATTTCAAATTTATTGTCACTATAAAGATATATTTTTTAAAAACCAATTACATATTCTGAAAGCCCGTTGAGTTTTCTATCACCCTATGTAATTAGGTTTCAATTTATCCTTATTCATTACCAAAAAAATTTGAATACAATGAAGGCACCCTCATGTCCAGATTCCCACAGATTTGATTTTTTCGCTGTCATCAAAAATAGTCTTTTAAATATTGTATCACTATAGAATCACGTTTTTTTCAAAAGCAATTATAGATTCTGATAGAGCTTGAAATTCTCTATCATCTTGTACTCTTCCTTATTTTCTTGCATTAATTTATTGAAAAATAATTTTAGTACAATGAAAACAGCCTCAATCGACAAGCACCAAAAAATCTACGTTTTCCTCCACTTTTTAAAAATTATTATTCCTAAACAACTAAATTACATAAAAGAAATTATATCATTGATAGAGCATAAAATTCTCTATCGGTCTATGAATTATTATATTGTTCTGAATTCGTTTTCTATTATTCAATAAAGTACGACCACGTCCTTCTCGTTCGATAACATTATCTGTTTCACAAAATAATCGTAAAATATTACGAACAGTTTGACTTGTACAATTAATAGCAGAGGCTATTTCATTCGAAGTCATACCTTGATCGAATCTTAAAGAGATAATTCGCCATCGATCGCCGATAGGTAAATGACCACTCATTGCTAATGAATCAGTCACAACTTCAGGCCAAGTTCAATTTCAATAAGAAATGACGATTTAGAAGAGCTAGCTTATTTACACCGAGAAACAAAAGATTTCACTGTGCAGGTGAATACTGAGTAAGTGACTGAAAAAGTGAAAGACAAGCAATATGAGAGACCTCGGGTGACAACAACTAGTATTAATAGTATTGAAAATGGAACATTCCAGAACACATGAAAGAAGAATAGAGAACTATAGAAAATTCTAGAATGCATATGACAGAGTCTGACGTGAGATCGCCACAACCAACGTGAGTTGATTCGACATTTCTTTTCTATGATTGGCTTCTTTGGAATAATAGTTTTAAAAAACACAAAAGAAGTAGAGAAAAATGTAGATTTTTGGTGCTTGTCGCTTAAGGATGTTTTCATTGTACTCAAATTATTTTTCAATAAATAAATGCAAGAAAATAAGGCAAAGTACAGGATGATAGTCAATTTCAAGCTCTATCGGAATCTATAATTGCTTTTGAAAAAACGTGATTCTATAGTGATGAAAAATTTAAAAAACTAATTTTGATCACGGCGAAAAAATCAAGTCTGTGGGAATGTGGACATGAGGGTGCCTTCATTGTATTCAAATTTTTTTGGTAATGAATAAGGATAAATTGAAACCTAATTACATAGGGTGATAGAAAACTCAACGGGCTTTCAGAATATGTAATTGGTTTTTAAAAAATATATCTTTATAGTGACAATAAATTTGAAATACAAGGCAAAACTATTTTTTCCGGGGGGATATATTATATATAGAGTAGTACAGGAAACTTATGACTTTCATGTGATGGTTCAGATCAATTATACACTGATATACAGCCAGAAGAAAACTGGTGAATGAACAGTCGTCATATGTATACAGAATGGTTAAAAATACGACATGCTTTCTTGCTGAAACTCACGACAGTATAGTTTGTGACGGAATAAGTCGATAAATTTTGAATTATAGTGTATATAAGTAATACATGAGATACAGCATCACTTCGTCTAATAAACTATCAGTGGTTGTAGTCGATATTTTGAAAACATAGAAAGGTAAAAGACTTTTATTAAGAATATATCTGACACAGAATCAGAGCTATAGGAAAATCAAACAATATAAGATGCATCATTTATTTAGACTAGATGCATGCAAGTAGAGACAAAAGCATTGTAAATTTGTTAAATAAATTACTTTAATTAATGTTATAATCATTTATAATGCAGGTATGTTCAAGTACTGTTATTAGTAGTGAATTCACTACACTATTGTATGGATATGGTACTGCAGCAAACAGTTATTCACAGCTAGATCGACCTCTTCTAAGCAAACAGCTTCAAAACTTGAACTTGCTCTGTGCAGATGCAATGGGATATATAAAATATGGACTAGTAGATCTAAGTGAAAATATATTTATTACCAGTACAACACTATCACATAGAGCATTTATTGAAACGGTGAATCAAACAATTAACGACTACAAGTCTTTGTTCAGAGCCGAAGCTATACGTGTAGTAAATTTTCTGGTTTTGTTGCTCTATAATAATTTTATTCCAACAAGTTTTAACACAGATTGGACTTTGGAGTATGGAGACGAATCAAATAGTTTTCTTATAAGAAGTATACCTCGTACGTTTGACAATAGTACATGTAATTGTGCTGTCTCAAGTACTTGTCAACAACCTTTACGAATAGGTCCTTCTGATCTAATATTACCAGGTCTCGTGATTGGTTGTTCACCAATGGAAGGCCTACGTATGTCTACACTCGAATGCTTTTTCTCATCAGACTGCATCTCGACTATAATCAATTATTTAGACTACTATACACAGATAGATGGATCACCACCAGTCAATTTTACTCCTCCGAAAACTCCACCTATCGTCATTGCATCATTAAATACTTCATTGTCCACACGATTTTTACCATCTACACAAATAGGTGAGCTTATTCACGAAATGTTTCTAGAACAACTCACCAATGTTATTAGTTACGAAAAATATTATGCTACATGTGCACCCAGTGTATGCCGCTACGAATATGTCGAACGAAGCAATATCTTGTATATTGTAACGACATTGCTTGGTCTTTATGGCGCTGTTAGTGTTGGTTTGCGATTACTTATTTGGAATTCATTGAGAATTTATCATAAGATCAAAAATTATTTTCATTATCATAACGCTGCAATTCAACCACAAACATCAATAATTACTCACTAACCTTACAACTTCACTAGCTTCAGACATTCAAGAGACCTAAAAGCTTGTATTTTTAAATATATATATTTATATAATGACAGCTATAATCGTATGCTATCGTAATAAAATATATTGTTATCTAAAAGCATGGTAAACTTGTTTTTCTTGATTTCAGCATTTTGTCAAAATAAAATATTTGAATTATTAGGTGAGACCATGAAATGGTTAACAGTAAAGATATAAATCATATATTTGTTTTGAATCGATCTCAGCAAGTATATATTTTGAATTTAATGAAGTACTTTAGAAAAACTGTATAGCTGAATAGACTTTAAACTGAAAGAACTAGACTATTGTTCGTATCAAAAGTAATAAAAAGTAAATATTATCATATTCGAAAAAAAGGGTGTGGGTGTGAGTGGTTGTGAATGGGTAGGTATAAGTGAGGAATGGGTGGGTGTGAATGTAAGGAAGAATAAAGAAATACACCCACACCCACACCCTTAATAGACAATATCATTGAAATGTCTAGATGCTAATTCAAAAGCCTTTTTTAGTATTTAGAATTCTGTCTTTATAAACTACGGTGCGCCTTTCATTGTCTTGGAATCTTGATAAAAACAGATTTTTTGTTAGTCATGCTATAATAGTGAAGTCTTCTTTTTTGGTAACGCCAATCAGTCAGTACTTTAATGAATACCTGTAAATGCCATTCTATATTTATAGCTCGATAGTTGTTTGTGTACAGCAGCCTGCATCATGGGAAGTCTGAAATCAGTATCATATAACTTTTTTTGATATAAACAAATCTAATATATTTCCATTAATTTAGAAGATTACTATAAATCTAATTACTAAATAAGTTCATTTTCCTATTTCCCCTATGAATTATCTATAACAAATTTCTTTAATTTGGTAGTGATCTATTTTTACCAACATTTTCTGAATAATGAAAGTCTCCGTAAATCTCGAATTAATTTTCATCGAAATGTGTCACTCGCAAAAGGAAGATCGAGTCACACAGAGGTAATCACAGAAAACAAAACAAGTCAATTTCCAACGTTTTTGGGTGTGGGTGTGGGTATAAAGAAAGAGATAACCCCCATATCCTCAAAATCGGCAAGAAATTGGCAATTAATCGCGATTTATCGAAACGATAATCGTGCGCTAAATCGCGATAAAATCGCCGATTTTTGTTGACTTTTTCCATGATTTTTCAATCATATATCGCAAATTTATTGAACTGTTAATTTTCTTATTTTCCAATTTTATTTTATATAGCTAATTATTTTTTCGAAAACCCAACTCAGGCAGATCGTGTGATCTGCCCAAGATGAGTAGATCTGAGAGGAATCAGACCATTTCAGTGTAGTCCATTCCCAATCGAAGGTCGAGAATGGCATTCCCTTGATCATAAAAACAATCAAGAAACAACCTATAAGAAAAATGTACTTTGAAAATGTACAGTTAACGTCTTCATCGATGTTGTTTATAAGCAGCTATATATGCATAACAAAGCGGTGAACAACCAGCGACCAGACAGAACGCGAAAAAAAAATATTGCGTAAAAATCAGTGATTAAATCTGATTTATTTGCTCCAATATATCGCTGATTTTTGAAAATCGTTTTTTATCTTAGAATCGCGATTTAACACGATAAATCATTGATTTTTTAACAAAACCCGATAAATCGCGATTTTGCGCGTATTTTTTGAAAAAATCGTTGAAACCGCGGCGATATTTGTGACATGGGCCTACATTCACACTCACAACCTTCATTAATCGATGAAATTTGTAATTGTCTCAATGATATAACTGATGGTCTGATAGAAAATGATTTATTTATATCAATTATCGACTCCATAATCGCATCTTTTCATCGGCTTCATGAAAAAAAGGTTGTCAATATATCGTATGATCCTATTCATGAACAATTAATAGAGTTTCTAGTTAAATATATTAATTCTATTCCTTTTAACGAAGATATAATGAGTACAAGTATGACTTCTAAACGACAAGGAATATTAAAAAATTGTTTACATTATATAGCAAATTTGAAAATCTCATATGAATTTTATTGGCAAAAGGATATATGTCAATTTCAGCTGTAACCATTTTTTCAGTGGATAGAAAAAATAAGTCAGTTTTCTGTTGATTGGTAGACAACGTATGAAATAACTGTTATCGATTATTTTACAACAATATTTTCTATTCGATTGAATGAATCAATTATTAATGAAGAAGAATTGAATTTATACTCGATTTTACTCGATCGATTTGTTTAGATTCTTCTTCAACTAAATGATTTAGAAAATTATTATTTAATTGACACTATAATCAAACATTTATTTGCATTTTCAAATTATCAGTTCTTAACATAATGTCGTTCAGTTCATACTATTATTCCATCTCTTCGTAAACTAATCAATGATGTCTCTCTGTATTCAGAACAAGATGATGACGCTGCATTTTATAGTTCTTGTTTATTGATCAATTTTCATTCGTAACACGAAAATGATATTAAAGATTTAGTGTACATTCTAATCGATTGGCTTTCAAAAACAATCGATCGAAATCAACCAATACAAACTCATAGAATCCTTCTTCGCTTAAGATGTAAGTAAACATGAATACGAATAAAATTAAAAACAATTCTTATTATGGTTTGCTTTTAAGCATTGTTGTTACATGATGTACCATTAACGAAACAAGAATTAAATCGTACAGAATCATTATCTATACTGCGAAAATATGCTACAAACTTTGAGTCGTTTGATCTAAGAATTCATCAAGTAGCAATGGATATCTTTTATTCCGTCATGAAAGTATCGATGAAACGAGTATCAATATTGATTCATTAACAAGACAATTAGGATGCTATCATATGAGATTATTCTTGTGATATAGTGCTTGTTATCATTTGTAAGACTAGTTGATAGAAGACAAGATATTCAAAAAGTTCTACAGAATTGAAAATATGACTTCAATTATTTAAAATTGAGAATAATTTATTCCTAAATGATAAAAAAAGGAATCAATGCTGTTAAATTATTGAGACTAACAAGGTTACATGCAAGATATCTTGACTTTCAAATTATTCTATGAGTTTAGTGGAATACTAGAGGAACATCTATGCTCCACAACTATGGAAGTGTAAAGTGATCCTGTGGGATCAAAACCAGAGTTGAGACTAGGTCGATTTTTTAACTAGCTTCGAAATTTTTTCTTTGATTACAAGGATCAGTTCAATTACCCTTACAAGTGGCTTGAAGGTCACAAATTTTGCTTTAATAATTCATTAAAAATTAAATATCACAATAGACACATGAAGACCGAATAATAAATTACCTAATTAGATGATTTAAAAGAGAAAAGTATATATATTATACAGTTAGTTGTACTAAGTTATGAATGACATTGTAGTAGGTTTTTAAAGGCCCCCTCCCCCTCAAAAAAAGTCAATTTTCGTCAAAAATTTTGAAATTGAGATAAATGCATGGGAAGATAGCCCGTCATCCGTTCTTTCATAAATAATAAAAGTCTTTCCTCAGTACCTCATTCCTCTCAAAAATTTTTCAAGATTTCCGCCATCCTCTATTCGAAAAATGAGCAGTTTTTTGAAAAACCAAAAAAAGTTTTTCGTGTTTTCTTGATTTATGATTTTTTGATTTTGGTGCAAGGATTTCTCAATCCGGGTCCGTCCAACATACTTAATTTTTTTTTGTTTGAAAGAGCGCGTCGAGATACAGGGCACCACAGAGTCCTTTTTTTAAATTAAGCTTGGCTTTTTATTATATAGACAGAAATTTATGTGACTGGACACCCATTTTTGGCGCGTTTTTTGAGTGATTGAACTTGTGATCCCCTTTTTTCGCTAAAAAAGTAAGAATTTAAAAAAAAGGACTCTAGTGCCCTGCATCCTGACATGCTCTTTCAAACAAAAAAAAATTTAAATATGTTGACAGAGCCCGGACCGAGAAATCTCGGAACGAAAATGACCTATTTTTGACTCTTCTTTGGTTCATATCTCTGTCAAACATCAGGGTATCGAGCTGAAAATTTTACCACAGTCTCCCCACATCAGCCCTAACATACATTCCAAATTTCAGCCCATGTGAATGTGCCTGGACTGAGATCGATTTTTGAGGGGGAGGGGGGCCATAAAAGAAATGCAATTACAGGCGACTATTGTTTTTTCTGAAATTCGTGAAAATGAAAGAAATCTTAACGAATAGCAGTATACTTATTCAATTCATTTTTATATCTATACCATCGTGGATACCTCGCTCTCTCTCTTCATGTACCCTTGTGGATAGCTTTCTCTGTATATCTATACCTTCGTGGGTACCTTACTCTCTTTGTACATATCGCCGTGGATACCTTACTCTCTTTATACATACCATCGTGGGTAACTCACTCTCTCTCTATATATATATATAGTCTCGTGGGTACCTGATTCCCTGTTTATATGCATCAGACAAAACTATACAGTGTTATTTGATGATTGAAATTTTAAGAAGATCAAAGATGACGATGAATTATTAATCATATACATTTATATAAAGTAACGTGAAACATTAATTGGAATTTAGCTAAGTTTAGAAAGTTGTAAAGTTTGTGAGTATTTTCAAAGAAAATCTAACTATATTCTGGAAGATGTAGAGATGAATAATGCTTTCTATATAAATTTAAATTGTCTTAAGAGATTCTAGAGTTCACCAGTATTTTTTTGAAAAGAAATATAACTATGTTTAGGAAAATGTAGAGTTCGTCACTGTTGTTGATAAAAATTTGATTCTGTTTATGAAGTAGTAGAGTTCAACGGTGTATTCTATAGAAATCTGAAGTATCATAGGAAGTTACATAGTTCACCATTCTGTCATAGTAACAACGAAATTAGCTGCCTGACCAAGAAAAATGAAAAAATGGAAACCAAGAGCTTGTGCTCACTCTCGGATTTTGGGTGAATATGCATTCGTATTCAAGTTAGTTCTAATACATACAAATAATGTTGTATGCAA